TGACGCAGTGTGACCCAAGCCCCCAGCCCCCACCTCCGTCCCCGAGGACAGGCTCTGGGGGCCAGGCTGGGACCCTCCCACCATCCCTGGCACTCCCGGCAACACCCACAGCACCACTGAGCCGCCGTGGCAACCCTGGCAAACACCTTGGCAGCTGAGAGCTCACCAAAGCCCTCCTTCTTCCTCACCTTCGGCCACACCAACCAGCAAAACCTGGCTCCACGCCGGTAGAGGAGAAGGTAGCCAGGGATGCACCGGGATGTGCTGTGCCAGATGCGACTGGCACTGGTTCTTACAATGATCGCCCAACAAACGGTTTGCCGACGGCCAAGCATTTCATCTGACTCTTTGCTGGGATGGGTTTGGCACTGCCGACACTCGAGGGGCATCCCGGCTTCCCTCACGGTGCTGGCATGGCATTCAGCAAAGGCCCGTGGCACAGGGGACCCCCCCACCTCAATAACAGCAAAGCAAAGTCCAGAAAAACTCTGTTTTCTCTGTTTTTTTCCCCCAATTGCGGTGGGGTAGCTGGATTCAGCACAACCAAAACCCACGGCTCACCGCGGGTCCGTTACCCAGCGCCTAACGGGAGCCACAGAGGCTCTGCCACCGCTCAGCATCAGCGATATCGGCGCTGTACTGGGAGCTCCAATCCCGCTCAAAAACGGCCTGCAGCTGCTCCCGGATGGTGCTGGTGCCAGCAGCAGTGCTGGCAGCAACACCGGCACCAGTTTGGCTCACCGTCTGGTTCACCACCAGCGCTGATCCCGCCGTCCGCACAAAGTAGTCACCGGACCAGTTGGATGTCCCTGCAGGGAGATTTGGATGGGAGGACCCCAAAAACCACCCCCAAGCCACCGCCACCAGCAGCCGGTGGCGACTCACACAGTGGCACCACCACTCACACCGCACTCACCGATATATGCCACCTTCTCTGTCACCATGTACTTGTTGTGGTTCACCCGGGCATAGGGGATCTGGGCTTGCGCCGCACTCGCCGGCACCATGAAAAGCCGCTGCAGGGAGCGAGAAGACCGTCACCCACTGAAAGACTGCCCGCCGGCACACCACGGTTGCGCTGCGATACCTACCACCTCCACGCTGTAGTGGGTCTGATTATCAGCGACAGCAGCAAGGGATTTGAGGAAGGGGAACATGGTCACTTGGCTGTGCCGCCAACAACCCACCAACAACCGAACCTTGACTTGGCGTTCAAAGACGGCTTTCCGCAGTCGGTTATCAATTGCCGGCCAAAATCTGGGGAGGGAGAGCGGTTAGGCATCACCGGTGCTGGAAAGCTGGGGTTGGCATAGGACCATACGAACCTTTGCGGGTGGGAGAATTCGGTGGTGGGGAGGTAGCTCATCACCGCAATGTCCACAAAGTCCTCAGCGGTATCGATGACGTTGAGGAGGGCACCAAGATCCTGGGTCCGACCAGCAGCACAGAGGGCTGGCGGGGAGCTCTGCCAGAAGCATTGGAGATGGATCAACCACCAGCACAGCTGATCCTCGGCACTGGGAAAACCAACCACGGTGCATCGGGGACGTACCGAGAAGTAGACGGCGGCATCAGTGTTGTTGAGCTTCAACTCCAACGGCGTCTCCATGTTGAAGGTGGTGGAATAATTTGCTGGCCACGGTACCGGGATGGAAGCACCGGGAATGCCAAGAGCCCAATAAGCCTCAAAAATTTTGCCTAAATCTTTTGCCAAGCAACTGCAGTTGTAGACAGCGGCGCCAAGCTCCTTCACCTGCAGCCAGCAGCACGGTCGCGCTGTCACATCACCGGATGGTGCCATCATCCCTCTCCAATGCCCTAAGTCCCACCTTATGGCACTGAGCACTCCCTCATGGGGATGGGGAATGGGGGTTGGTTTTGGGGTAGCCCTGGCACCGTTCGGCACAGGTTCAGCACCATCCAGTAGTATGACGGTGCTGCCATGCTGCTCACCTGGGTCAAAGACCTCCAGTCCATGTTGGCGCTCCCAACGTAGAGGTGGGTGCCATCAACGAGCCAAAACTTGGTGTGCAGTACGCCACCAGTGAGGCGTCGCATATCGACGGTGCGCACCGCGGCACCTGCACAACCACGAGTTGGGTGTCTCTTACTGAAAATCCCCCCAAAAACCCAGTTTTGGGTTTTTTTTCATCACTCACCACTCCGCTCCAGTGCTTGGAGATCGTTCAGCAGCGATTTTGCCGATGGGAAGCTGACAGCAATTCGGACGGTGATGCCGCGCTGGGGTAACTGGAGGATTTCCTTCAGGATTTGTTCACCCTGAATCAGCACATGGTTTGAGGCCAAAAAAAAAGCAGAAATTATTAAAAATGATGGGAAGGCGACAAAATGGCAGCTGGCGCCAGGTTCAAGGACTGGAATGGGAGCTGTGCTGCACGTGCCGGATGCCCGCGGTGCAGACCTGGACGGCAGAGGGTTCGTGTGTCCGTGTATCCTCATTGGTCATGGTCCAGTAGAAGGAGGCAATGTCCAGGCTGCGGGTGACAGTCCCCAAGAGGTTCATCCACGTGGAGAAGGTGGATGGATTCGGCACAGAACCGTCACCGAAGGTCATTCCTTCCGGGATGCTCTCCACCAGGACAATCCTATGGCGAAAATTTGGCAGCGCCAGCACCAGTGAGATTGTGGCACCAGGATGCCAAGAATCTTGGGGGAGCATCACCCCTCCATAAGCTCATCTTACCGGCACGCGTCACCACAGGATCCGGCATCGCTAGCAGCGTCACCGCCAGCATCACTGCGGAGGGCTGAGCTCAGCCGGAGATTGAAGAAGAGGAGGAAGATGAGGATGAAGAGGGTGAGAAGGACGGCGGAGAGCAACGCTCCACGGGAGTACTGGGATGGAGAGCAGATGTCAGCACCCCAAAATTAAGGAATAAATTAATTTATGGGGTTTAAAGCTACCCCCAACACCGGTGGGATCCAGCAAGGAGAGTTACCTTGGGTGCGAAGTGGGTGGGCTGCGCCCCACGGTGCTCCAGTGGGTCCAGCTGTGATGGGGGGCACAGAATTGAGGTGAGGGAGACCCCAAATCAGGGTGGGGGCTGGTCTGGGGGTAAAACCCACCCCAAAATGCCCAGGGTCCCTAGGGAAAAGTGCCTCCCCCCCCCCTATATTGCTAGGGGTCCCCATGAGCTGCAGGGTCTGGGTGGAAACAGGGGGATGCCCCAGTTTGGGGTTGTGGGGTGCTGGGCAGGGGGCTATGGGGCAGCCCAGTTTGGGGTTGTAGGATGCTGGGGCAGGGCAGGGGCCTACAGGGCACCCCAATTTGGGATTTCAGGGTGCTGGGGGGGGGAGGAGCTATGGGGTGCCCCAGTTTGGGGTTGTAGGGTGCTGGGCAGGGGCCTATGGGGCACCCCACTTTGGGGTTGTAGGGTGCTAGGGCAGGGCAGGGGCCTATGGGGCACCCCAAATTG